TTCTCTCTGTCAAATAAATAAATAAAATCTTAAAAAAAAAAAATGGGGCTTAGTGCAATTGAAGAACTGACTTTCAATTTTATTTAATTTTAATTACTTAAGATTAAATTACTTAATTAGTTAATTAGATTTAATTAGTTAAAATTAAATATAAATAGCCACATATGACTGCTGGCTAACATATTGGACAATCCAGCTCTAGACCATTCATTTATTTTACAGATAAAAAACAGGTCCAGGAACGTTAAATGCTGCCTTGTTGACATATAACTAGACAGGGGCAAAATTGGGACTACAGTGATGGTTGTAGAGAAGAAACACTGAAAAATAAATGAAGAGGAAGAATTTAAAAAAAGATTTAGTAATGAAATTAACTTGGAATATCAATAATATTAATTGTTAAAATTACTGAAAGTTAATGATAATTCCAAAGGTAGAAGCCAAGGAGATTGAGAAGATAGGATGGCTTTAATAATAATGGACAAGAAAGGAATTTGGCAAAAAGGAAGCAGTTGATAAATTCAGTTTTTTACATATTTGATTGAAGGGGAATGTTTTAGATTGAAAGCGATCAAGGGAGCATAGCAAATGCAATGCATGGTCCTTGATTGAATTTTGGTTTAAAGAGTCAGTTGAAAAGACATTTCTAATACAACTGTGGAAATTTGAGTACTGGCTGAGTTTTACATGATATTAAGGAGTTATTGGTAATTTTGTTACCTGTGATAATGTTATTGTGGTCATAAAGAAAACACCTTACTTTTAAGAGATAAATATTGACATATTTGGATATGAAATGCCATGGTATGCATAATGCTCTTCAAAATACTGTTTTAAAAAACAAAGCAAATGTGGTAAAATGTTAACATCGGTTAAATCCAGGAGATGGGTACAAGAGTATTCATACTATTCTCCATTTTCAATTTTTCTCTTTTTTATTAATAAGGAGATCTGACAACTTTATAAAGTTAGGAGTATTTCTTTTTCTTTTTTTTTTTTAAAGATTTTATTTATTTATTTGACAGAGAGGGACACAGCGAGAACGGGAACACAAGCAGGGGGAGTGGGAGAGGGAGAAGCAGGCTTCCCACAGAGCAGGGAGCCCAATGCGGGGCTCGATCCCAGGACCCTGGGATCATGACCTGAGCCGAAGGCAGATGCCCAGCAACTGAGCCACTCAGGCACCCAAAGTCAGGAGTATTTCATGTAATTTTATTAATAGTAAGAATGGAGATTTGTCTCGAATTTTTGCAGTATGTCATGTATTTCTCCTCCTGCCTAACTCTATGGAGGAGAAATTATATCCCTGTTCATAGACTCAGAGATGTTATGTATTTGCTTACCTAGTAAGTAATTGACAGAGCTAGACCTAGAATTACAGTTTTCTGGCTTCTGTTTTAATATTTAGTATATCACAGGATATACATTATCTTATATGTAGAATAAATTTTTATCTGAGAAGTTTGAGTTTTTAAAAAATAAACATTTGAAAAATAATTGCCCTTAGCTTTGCCTTATGAGTGGAGAAATCATTCAAATGTCCCCTCAAATGAGCCTCATCTTTGAAGCAATGGACCTTTCCCAGGCCTCGGTAAGTTCATATTTTAATATAACAGTAGTTTGTGTGTTCACTTGGTCAATAAGTATTTTTTTATTACATGTCATAAGACCAGTTAGGCACCAGGAATACTAAGATGAATAAGACACAGTGTATTTAGGGAGGATAAGAAGCATGCTAATAAATAATCCCACTATACTGCTACATGTAAGTACTTTAAGAATATGGAGGGGGTGAGCATGCAAGAGGGGAATGGGTAGAGGAGGACCGTGGAAAATGTCTGAGTGTTTGATACGGTTTTGAAGGTTAACACTTCTCTAGGGAGATAGTTGGGGCTGGGCATTCCAAATCACAACAAGATGATATGTGAAGACCTGAAGCCACGACAGGACTGGGGAACTATAACTGCAGACATTTCGTCTAATGTATGTGAGGCTGTAGAGGAAGACAGGAGCTAGATCGTGAAAGGCCATAGAGGTCATTCAAGGTAGTTGATAACGGCCACTGGCATAAGAGCAACACTGGAAAAAGAAAATGTCTTTTTTCTCTAGCCGGCCACCGTAAGCCGCTGTGGCATGATTTATTTGGAACCCTCGCAGTTAGGATGGGAACCACTTGTGTCCTCGTGGTTGAATTCCCTGAAAGGACCTCTGCAGGAACCAGATCATCAGGCTCTTCTGAAAGGACTTTTTGGCTGGTTAATAAAACCCACCTTAAAGCTTCGTAAGAAAAATTGCAAGGTAACACTGTAATTCTCTAACCTGTTCAAGTTTCTTTAGTTTCCATTCAACTTGACCTAAGTCTAAAGTCACAATAGTAGGAAAAATAACTAAAATCAGTTTCCCCTTAGACATTGGTATCCACTTTTTAAAATGGGATGTTTATTGTGACAATCAGTAATTCACCTGCAGTTGCAAATAATAGATCCCATGCACAATTCACCCAATTTCTCCGAACGGTAACATTTTGCAAGGCTATATTGTACCACAACAAGGATATTGGCATTGATACTATCTACTGATCTTATTGAGATTCCCCTAGTTATATTTGTACTCAGGTGTGTGTTTTGTCTCTCTGGGTTTCATTTTAAAATGTTTAGTATTTTATAATTTTAAATATAAGTGCAACTTTGTGCCCTTTGCCCAATGTCTCCCCATTATCCCCACATCCCCACACCTGGTGACTACCATTTTACTCTGGTTCTATGCATTCAACTTTCAGATTCTGCATATAAGTGATATCATACAATTTGTTCCTTTCTGTGTCTTTTTTCACTTATCATAATGTCTTAAAGTTCATTCATGTTGTTACAAATAGCAGGATCTCTCTTTTATTTTTAAGTCTGAATAATATTCCATTATAGGTATTTATAGGACAATTTCTTTATCCATTTGTCCATCAACAAACAGTTTGTGTCCATATCTTGGCTATTGGGAATAATGCTGCAATGAACATGGGAGTGCAGATATATCTTTGAGGTACTGATTTCATGTCCTGAACAGGGATTGCTGGATCACATAGCAGTTCTATTACTAGTTTTTGGAGGATCTTCCATACTGTTTTCCACAGTGGCTGTACCAGTTTACATTCCAACCAAGAGTGCACAAGGTTCTCTTTTCTCTACATCCTCACCAAGACTTGTCACCTTTCATCTTTATAATCATCCTAACAAGTGTGATGTGATATTTGGTTTAGATTTGCATTTCCCTGATGATTAGTGATGTTGAATGCCTTCTTACACACCTGTTAGCCATTTGTATGTCTTCTTTAGAAAAAGTGTCTGTGCAGGTCCTTTGCCCATTTTTAAATTGGATTGTTTGTTTTTCTGCTATTAAATTTTATGAGTTCCTTATATATTTTGGATATTAACCCCTTGTGAGATATATGGTTTGCAAATATTTTCCCTCAATTTATAAGTTGCCCTTTCATTTTGTTGATCATTTCCCTTGCTGTGCAGGAACTTTTAGTTTGATGTAGTCCCACTTTATTTTTGCTTTTGTTGCCCGAGTTTTTGTCCTATCCAAAAAATCATTGCCAAGGTCAATGTCAAGGAGTATTTCCCCCATGTTTTCTTCTGGGATTTTTATGGTTTCAGATTTTACATTTAAGTCTTGAACCCATTTTGAGTTGATTTTGGTGTATGGTGTAAGATAAAGGTCCAGTTTCATTCTTTTACATGTGGCTCTCCAATTTTCCCAATACTGTTTATTGAAGAGACTATCCTTTTCCCATTTTGTATTCTTTTATTTTTTTTTTAAGGTTTATTTATTTACTTTAGAGAGAGAGAATGTGTATGTGAAGGGGGGGAGGAGCAGGGGGAGAGGGAGAGAGAATCTGAAGCAGACTCCTTGCTGAGCATGGAGCCCATCACAGGGCTTGATCTCATGACCTATGAGATCCATGACCTGAGCCAAAACCAAGAGTTGGACACTCAAGTGACTCAGTCACTCAGGTGTGCCCCCCCACCACTGCCACCCACTGTGTATTCTTGTTGCCCTTGTTGAAGATCAGTTGACTGTATATGCTTGGGTTTATTTTGGATTTTTGATTGTTTCATTGGCTTATATGTCTGTTTTTACCCCAGTAACATACTGTTTTGATTACTGGAGTTTTGTAATATAATTTGAAACCAGGACATGTGATACTTTCAACTCTGTTTTTAAGATTATTTTGGCTATTCAGAGTCTTTTGTGGTTCCACACAAATTTTAGAATTTTTTTTCTTTTTTTTGCAAAAATTGCCATTGGAATTTTGATAGGGATTGCACTGAATTTGTAGATCACTTTAGGTACTATGGGCATTTTAACAATGTTAATTTTTCCAATCCATGAGCACAGGATGTTTTTCCATTTATTTGTGTATTCTTCAATTTCTTTCATTAATGTTTTATAGTTTTCAATGTACAGATCTTTCATGTTCCTGGTTAAATTTATTCCTAAGTATTTTATTCTTTTTGATGCTATCATAAATGGGATTGTTTTCTTGATTCCCTCTTCAGATAGATCATTGTTGGTGTAAACAAATGCAATTAATTTTTGTATTTTGGTTTTGTATCCTGTAACTTTACTGAGTTTGTTTGTTCTAAAAGGTTTTTTTTGTTTGTTTTTGCATGGAGTCTTTAGGGTTTTCTACATATAGGATCATGTCACCTGCAAATAGAAATCATTTTACTTCTTTTCTGATTTGGATGCCTTTTATTTCTTGTCTGATTGCTCTAGTTAGTACTTCTTGTTGAAAAGAAGTGGTGAGAGTGTGCATCCTTGCCTCATACCAAATCTCAGAGGAAGAGCTTTCAGTTTTACCCCATGGATTATGATTTTAGCTGTGAGCTTTTCATAAATGTCCTCTATTTTATTGCAGAAATTTCCCTTTATATCTACTTTGTTGAGTTTCTTAAAAAGATTTTATTTATTTGTCAGAGAGAGAGCGCACAAGCAGGGGGAATGGCAGGCAGAGGGAGAAGCAGGCTCCCCACTGAGCAAGGAGCCCAATGCAAGACCCGACATGACCTAAGCCGAAGGCAGACACTTAAATCATCTAAGCCACCCAGGCATCCCTTGTTGAGAGTTTTTATCACAAATGGTGGTTGAACTTTGTCAAATACTTTTTCTGAATTTATTGAGACGATCATGTGATTTTTGTCTTTCATTCTGTTAATGTGTGTATCACATTGATTAATTTGCATATCCCTTGTATCCCAGGGATAAATCCCGCTTGGTTATGGTATGTAATCTTTTTGGTGTATTGAATTCAGTTTGCTAGTATTTTATTGAGGATTTTTGTATCTATATTCCTCAGAGATATTGGCTTATCTTTCTTGTGAAGAGACTGGCTTTGGTATCAGGGTGATTCTAGCCTCAAAAAATGAACTTAGAAGTATTTCCTCCACTTCTGTTTTTTGGAAGAGTTTAAGAAGGATTGGTATTAATTCTTTGAATGTTTAGTAGAATTCAGCTCTGAAGTCATCTGGACTTTTCTCTGGGAAGTTTTTGATTACTACTTCAATCTCTTTGTTATTGATCTGTTCAGACTTTCTATTTCTTCTTGATTCAGTTTTGGTAGGTTGTATGTTTCTAGGAATTTATCCATTTCTTCCAAGTTATCCAATTTGTTTGCATGTAATTGTTCATAATTATCCCTTGACGATACTTTTTATTTCTCAGGCATCCATTGTAATGTTTTCTCTTTCATTTCTGATTTCACTCATTTGAATCTTTCTTTTTTTTTCTTAGTCTAGCTAAGGGTTTATTGATTTTGTTTATCTTTTTGAAAAACCAACTCTTAGTTTGATTTTTTTTATTGTTTTTCTATTCTTTACTTTTTTATTTCTATTTTGCTCTTATTTCAGTCTGCTAACTATTGGTTTAGTTTGTTCTTTTGTTGTTCTTTAAGGTTTAAGTTAGGTTGTTTATTTGAGATTTCTTCTTTTTTAATGTAAACATTTATCACTATAAACTTCCCTCTTAGTACTGCTTTTGATGCATCTCATGAGTTTTCGTATGTTGTGTTTCCATTTTCATTTGTCTCAAGATATTTTTTGATTTCCTTTTTAATTTCCTCTTGGACCCATTGGTTGCTCAAGACCATGTTTTTTATACAAATATTTGTGAATTTTCCCATTTTCTTATTTTTACTGACTTTTAGTTCTATTCCATTGTGGTCAGAAAAGATACTTTGTATAATTTAATCTTAAATTTGTTGACTTGTTTTGTGACCTAACATGTGGTCTGTCCCGGGGATTGTTCCATGTGAACTTGAGAAAGAATGTGTTTCCTTCTACTGTTGGGTGAAAAGTTCTACATATATCTGTTAGGCCCATTTGATCTATAGTGTTGCTCAAATCTATTGTTTCTTTTCTGAGTTTCTGTTTGGATATTCTATTGCTTATTGAAAGTGGGATATCAAAGTCCACTACTATTATTGAATTATTGCTGGCAATTTCTCCTTTCAGATTTGTCGATATTTATTTTATATACCTAGGTGCTTTGATGTTGAGTGCATATATATTTACAATTGTTGTATCTTCCTGTTGAATTGACCATTCTGTCATTGTTATGACCTTCTTTGTCTCTAAAGACAGTTTTTACTTAAAGTCTACTTTATCCAATACAGATATAGCCACTTCTGATTTCTTTTGGTTACCATTTGCATGGAATATCTTTTTCTATCCCTTCACTTTCAGCCTATGTGTTTCTTCTAGACAGTACACAATTGGATCTTGGATTTTTATCCATTCAGCTACTCTTTTTATTGGGGAATTTAACATTTTTTTTTTAATTTTATTATGTTATGTTAGTCACCATACAGTACATCATTAATTTTTGATGTGGTGATCCACGACATGTTTACATTTAGAGTAATTTTGATAGGGAAGGATTTACTATTGCAATTTTGTTAACTGTTTTCTGTTTGTCTTATGTTTTTTTGTCCTTCTTTTCTCTCTTGATGTCTTCCTTTGTGTTTCATTGTGGGGTTTTTTTGTTTGTTTTTTGTTTTGTATTGGTAGGTTTTGATTCGTTCTTTTTTTTTTTTTTTTTAAGATTTT